GTTTGCAAGAAAAGAACCAAGCTCAGAGAACCCCAAGGACTCCACAGTTCAACCCTGAGCTACACATATTCGCCTCTTGGATATCTGGCAGATGTGGCCAGCCCTGTTCTAAATCTTCTGTTTTTGATAAAATACTCATTATTAGCTGTCCCTTAATTAATAAGGAGGCACCTCTTCTTTTTCTTTTCTTTTTTTTTAGTCCAAATAATATTTCATCAGTCCAATCTTGTTTACCTGGCATTATTCGGTAATGTCTTGATTGCTGTTCTTCCAGATGCCCTGGAGCACATTTGGAATGTCCAACTTTCTTTCTGTTCTTGAGCAATGTACATTCATTAGATGCTGACTTGGAGATGAATACTGGTGTGCATCCAATTGCACCATTCACACACAAGCACGAAAAAAGAGGAGAAGGCTGGAAAGATTGGCCATTGGTATAGTATACACCACTGAGCACACAGCCAACTGCTATCATGTCTTGAAATAGCAAAACAGAATAAATAAAACTTAAGCCTGTGCAAATGTCAGGATAATCAATTAAATATAAATACTGCAGGTGACATGTATAAATAGCAATAATTAGTATTAAAGAATGTTTTATGTTACTCAAAACACTGCACACACATAAAAACACACATGCAGGTTTGTTAAGATTTGAAGCATTCTTGCTTGATATTTCATATTTTCTATTGTTATTCAGTATTCTCCATAGGTAAAAAAAACAGGATCTAATGGTAATAATATTCCCATTATCTCAGCTTTCTAATCCTAAAAATCCTTTTTAAAGGGGAGATCTACTTAGACAGCTTTGGGAAACCTCTTTGCAGGATTAGATTCCTAACAATTAAGAGAGTCCCAGTTCAGAAATTCATTTGATCAATTAATTCCCAGTCTCACGACACCTGGAGAATACATTCCTCTGTTATTTCAAAGAGTGATCCAAGTCACTGTTTGATATTGTGCTCGTTTATCACTGTTTTGGAAAAAAAATAGCATGGTACAGAATATGGTACAGTTGTGAATGCCCTTTCCTTGCAGTCCTGCTGCTCGTTTATAAGAAATAGAAGAGAAAACAGAGGGAAGACTTACATGCACATATTCCTCTTTCATACCTAGGCTTATCTGCAGAGTAATCACAATATAGTCCCTTGTGATGGTCACAGACCTCAGCTTCATTACAGATGGTGCCTGCTTGTTTGGCACACATCCAGCAACATCCACAGCCATCTCTCATCAGGCTCACCCCAGGACTGCAGTTTGGCACAGGTGGGCATCTGCAGGGCCAGCGACATAACTCTTGGCGCTGATGAAGCTCACTCTTTCCTGTACCTTCTCCACTCTTTCCTTGCTGCTGCCCCTGGCCTGATACCCTGAAAGAAAGCTTTCGTACAGGTGGACTCATCTGAGAGCTGGAAAGTTTGCAACCAAAGTGCACTATAATCCTGAATATTAATACCCTTTTATTGCAAGAGGGTGGGACACTCTACAGACTGTACAATTACTCTTCTACCACAATGACTCCTAAAACACAAAACAGCATAATATATACAAGCCTACTTAGGAATCCCATTACTAATGCCTAATCTGTTTCCTTAGAGCCCGCTCTCATGAGCCATTGAAGACCCAGCATCAAGGCAAGAGGACAATATTTCTATTTCTTGTGGCCAAACCAAGGCAACCATTAGCCATGCCACATCAGAAGTTTCCTCTTATATTTCTGAGGCACAAAACTACCAATCAAGTGACAACCACCCCTTACCAGTGATATCAAGGCAAACAGGGCCAAATAGGATGCTTTGTGTCACATTCTTGGTCTAAGGCACAGCATGAATTTTCTTGACATAGATTTATGTTCATACAAGCATAGTGAAAACTGGTTTAACTGGACTGCACCTGACTTATGTGTGGGCTCTCTTGAGCTTTGTTTAAGGTCTCAAAGAGCCAGGTTAAGTGTGCTTGGTTCATCAATATACACATTAGCAATCCAGATGGAAGGAGACTTTGGAGTTGCACCAGAGTGGATTTACTCCATATCAGTCAGGGCACACGTTATCATCAGACAGGTCAAGACAGTTGCCTCAGGAAGCAAATTCACTGCTACATTTTTCTGACAATCAGGGAAAATGGCCAAAATAACTTGATGGATCGTGAGTATATGTATGTGAACCAGGACAGGTTTATGGAGAAGGATGTTGATGCTGCAAAATGTTTTGACCCAGTTTTACTATCAGTCCACATGGAAAATGCAGACCAGCAAATGTGTCCTTCCCTTCACACAGATAAGTTTTCTAGAACAGGGTTCTTCAACCTTGGCCACTTGAAAATGTGTGGACATCAACTCCCAGAATTCCCCAGCCAGCCATGGGAGTTGACGTCCACACATCTTCAAGTGGTCAAGGTTGAGGAACACTGTTCTAGAACAGCCTTCTCTGATTCAGTACATTCCAGATGGATTTAACTCCAGCTCCTATCATCCCCAGTCAGCATGGTCGGTGGGAGTACTAATGAAAGATGATTGGAGCAGTAGGGCAAAAAGATGGAAGAGCACCAAGTTAAGATATTCTGGAACATTTGCTTTCCTACAGAGACTTCCATATTCCTTTTCATCTAGTTACACATTTAGAGTAGGTTCGTATAGCACTCTAACCCATAGTATAATTTGGCTTAGCATGTTGTGTGCATCCAGTCATTGTAATCTGTAAAACAATAGTTTATAGCTTGGTGTTATTTGTAAACCTGGCCAATTGGGGTTTATTCAACAAAGCATGACATGTTGCAGTGACTGAATCCACTTTTACAGTGTAAAATCCTTGGTAACAGCATTCTCCAACCTGGACTCTGGTTGGGAATTCTCTGAGCTATAGCCTCAAATTATCACAGAGTGCTACATTTTGTGCTTAAATTGGGGGAAAAAAAGCTAGCTTCCTTCTTCAATTATTGTATTTTTCCTCCCTTGAGGTAGTCAGAAAGCATGCTTTCTGCTCATAAAAAAGTTCATTAGGGAAACATCAACTGTAACTCCTAATTTTAATGATACTGTTTGCGTATAATTCAGGAAACCTCATCATATGGACTTCTGCATACAACTGCATATTTCATGCAAGGCAAATGTTTGAGAAGCAGGCACATCTAAAATAATTGTTTCCTTTTTATTTCTATGTTTGTATTCAATTCCACACACTAAAACAACTCTTCTTTCAGCTCTAATTCTGGTTTGATTATTCAAATAAAAGTCCATCTAATCCAAAAGCCCTTGCCAGGATTCCAAAAATGAACAGCAGTTGGGCAATCCATTAGAAATAATTTTTTTTAAAAAAGCAAAGCAAAGCAAAGCAAAGCAATAAAAAATAATAAAATAAAATAAAATAAAATAAAATAAAATAAAATAAAATAAAATAAAATAAAATAAAATAAAATAAAATAAAATAATGGGCTACCAGATCTGAGCTGCAAAAATCCAGAGAACCACCAGATGGCAGCAAAGCAATATAGAAAATACTAACTTCTCCAGATTTCTGCAGCCTGGATCTGGTACCTTTACTGAATCTGCAATCAGTTTACCTTTAATCCCTCCTGCTGTAGACTGTATTATTTATGTCCTACACATTGAAATCAGTAGAACTTGAGTCATTATGAAATATTCACACCAATTTAAGTAAGACTTTCATTCTATTAAGATAACAAAGAACTAATTTGCAATTAATATCATATGATATAATCTATTACACTGTATCCACATAAAAGAATAGCATAATTTATATTAATTAAATTATAGCATGATTTAGAAAGCATGTTTTCACCATAAAGAAACAATTTGAGTTTTGAACAATATAATAAGAGGTACAATACATAAAGATTATCCCTTAATAACCTACATGCATAGCATATCAACAGATCACTTCACTTTAACATTTTTAGAGGTCCCCTATTTCATGCCTTATAATAGTAATCTGTCTCTTTATAATCTGAATGTTCTACAATATATTCCTAGTTTGGTTTTCTTGTGTTCACATTATATAGATTTAATAGTTAAGCTTTGTCCATTAACTTCATAGGGCAGAAATTAAAATAGAAGCTCTTTGTAGAAATCTCATGAGGGAAAGCAAAATGCCTCTTCTGTAAATCCATAAAAAAAAGTGGGAGAATTAACTATGTTTTATAAACCCTATTGCTGAGAAGTTTGGATAATTCTTAATGTTCATGGAAAGATGAGTAAATGTAGTTCAAGGGAAAGCAGCTTAATAAGATTCTGTAGAACATGAATAAATTGTGCTACAAAACTACAGGAGGATCCTAAATAAAGGGCCCTACAGCTTATATTGTCATGGTTAATCATTTGAACTTATAAAGATATATATTTTATAAACATATTCAAAGATCTGCGTATGAAAAAAAAAAGGTTTCTTAATTTTTGGATAATAGTCTCAATCAAGAATATGACTTCAAACAGCCAGCTAATGCAATAAAACTTCCCAAACAAGTAGCAGCAATTGGCTATTATGCCCAACCCTTTTCTCTAAGTAAAGTTTGCTTGTTCAGACAACAGATCAGCCTTTGACATGACGAGGCCATCTTTCTAGAGAGCTTACTTACCTGTTGAGTATAAGGGATTGTAAGAAGGGTGGAGATGAAGACCCACTGCATTTTCCCGCGATGGCAGAAGTGAAAAGCAGAGAGCGAGTGAACAGGCTGAGCTGTGTCAGAGCCAAGGCTGTTGACAAAGTCTCCTCTGTCTACCCTGCCAGGTTCCTCTCTTCAGCACACTCACAAAGACCCACAGATTCATATTTAGAATCCTCTGCAGAGACGAAGCTTTGCCCTGAATCTGTCAAGTAGTTCTTTCTTTCTTCTGAGGCACGGTCTCTTCCTTAGGATGGTTTGGTCACAATGACTTTTCGGAATGTCTTTCATTTGAAAGGCTTCTTCCTCATCTCAGAACATTTTTGGAGCCTGAAGCATTCCACAGTTTTCCAGTTTAGATAAGGCAGATAGTGAGGGTAGAGCTCTGTTTGCCCATCTCTGACATGTTCAGTAGAAGGCATGGTTGAAAGTAACATTTCATTTATTTCTTATTTATTTAAATGATTTATAGAGCCATGAGAATATCAGTACCGGGATGTGGCAACATTAACAAATGTCCAATTCCTAGAAGAGGAATACAAGCAAGTTAGGCAGATGTAATCAACTATTATAGCAGACAGTCTCCATGAGACAAACCAATTAGAGATGTCTCTGTTCAACCTTCTCCCAATAAATATGGTCTTTATTGTATTTTTATTGTGTTTTAATTAATATTTGTTTTTTGTTTTTACTGTAAACTGCCCAGAGTTACTTCTTAGTGAGATGGGTGATGACCAATTTTGAAATATAAATAAATAAATAAACAAACAAACAAACAAACTTATCTCATGGACTACAAACATAACTCTGTCCCACCAAATGTATTTGCTGAATTTCATATTAAGGAGCAACCTTCTGCCAGGGGTAAAGTCTGTCCCCTAGAGCAGGGTTC